GAGAGGTGGGAAGAAGACGAGAGCACAGAGTCAGTCAGACCGGCCTAACTCGTGCCCTCAGGAGCAGCACTAGCTTGTCAACAAGTTCCCCTGGCCGAGCTCTGTCTGTCTGTGAGGGAGGAATGCCACCTGCCCTTCCCTTGATAGCTGAAGACAAGCTAACCACCCCAGGACTCGGGACAGAATATATGATGTTCTTTATCTCTGTCGTCAACATCATCATCTGAAAGGTTCCAAGAAGTAGGTAATAATGTAAAAAACACAAAACAAATTCTACTAACAAGAACTCAGGCCCTCTCCACCTAAACCTGCTGCCCAGGGCTCAGAGGACAAGGCAGGAAAAACAGCTGCTTTCAGTGCTGTCTTCCATGCAATCCTCCTATTTTCAGTGTCATGCCTCATCCTTTCCTTCTCTGAGTCTAGTGTCTCCAAGTAAAGAGCATCGCAGATTCTATTTATGGAGATACTCCACCTCCCATTTCCTGCCGGGACAGGGGAAGAGTGGCTGCCTGACAAAGCCAGGTGGAGATGGGACTGCACGTTGTTTCTGGTGTAGATATTCACACGGTCTCTGAATTCAGTCACTCCTCACTGGTGCTCCACAAACTGTTTCCCCCAATTTCCCGAGTTTGTGTGGACAGCTTTTCACTAGCCTCTTGTGCTGAGTTATTTGCCACCATCCCGCCATCTACTTTCATTCTTTGTACACTGCAATCTGGATTACAGACATCTGCCACTTTCAACAAAGCAGTCCTGTGTTTCTTATTCTCATTATAAATAATTTGAGAGGAGACAGGAGAAGTCTTGAAGTTCTAATTTTTAATAGAAGCTGCAGCATGAGTGTGGAAGTCTCTTAAAGCAAGATACGAGGAATCTTTTCTTCATCATCTTCTTGCTGGCAGGAAATGGGAGGTGGTGCATCTCCAGAAATAGAATCAGGGATGTGCTTTACTTACTGACACTAGCAGGAGAGGAGGTCTAAACCACGGGCACAACTTTTGAGTCCAATTACTTATTCACTTTAAACCACCCTCATCATTCTGAAAGTTACATGTATGACTGCAAATTATTAGGAAATTTGAGATTTTACATTTAGAAGATCAAAAGTGTAAAGATTACACATTCTAAGACGCAAAGATCTCTGTTCCCTAACTTGTACCCAGTAGATTTCTATTCACAAAGCTCTGGAGCATTTGCTGATCTAAAAACCAAAAATACAATTTCTAATACACAACTTGACATTTCCTTAAAAAGCTGCTTCATCCTATTTGTCTTATTTACTTATAGTTCCTGTCAGAAATTGTCCTTCACAGATGCCTAGAGAAGAAAGCAGCCCATTCAAGCAAAAGAGAACAAAGATCTTAAGTATCAGCTCTACCCCAAGAAGTATCTTTTATTACTTTAGTATAAAAAGAGTCCTTTTTAATCAGTTGGCCATCTTTTCATCTTTGTCCTTTCCATCACTAATATCCATTACTACATTCTGAAAGCACAAATTTCTCCAGCTTCAACTACCACTAACATTTGGAACACATTCCATTCTTGATCTTCAAGCTTCTTCCTGTCCTCAATCCCTCAGTTCACAAGAACACTCATTTGAAAGTTTTACCATCATGTCAAACTCCATTTCAAATCAAGCATTTGCCCTATCTAATGAGTGTAGAATATCCCAGGGCCTGCCAAGAGAACAGACAGATGCGTGTTGGAGAAAGTGAAACCACAGTGCTGCTTGGAGGCAAGGCTGGTGAAATGCTGTCTCACATACTTTGGGCATGTTGCTAGGAGAGCCCAGTCCTTGGAGAATGACAGCATGTTTGGAAAGGTGGAGGGGCAGCAGAAGAGAGGAAGAGTCTCAACAAGAAGGACTGATACAGGGACTGTACCAATGGACTCAACCATGTCAGAGATGGGATGGTAAAGACAGCAGGATTCGGACCCACTGTTCATACAGGCGTTATGAGTCTAGCCAAGCTGCTAGCACTTAGCAACAACACCAGCAATCAGCTCTCCAGGGAGCCCGAGAAGCCCCACGGTTAAAGCTATTCACTGAAAGGTCAGCAGTTTTAATCCATCAGCTGCTCTGAAGGAAAATGAAAAGGCTGTTTTCTTCTGTAAAGATTTACAACTCTGAAAACCCTATGGGTTTCTACTCTGTCCTACAGGGTTGCAATGAGTCAAAACCACCTCACTGGCAGTGGTTACTCTGCTAACCCAAATCCATCTCTTGGTTCAAATCAACCCACAGCTCCAAGGTAGAAAGACAGGCAATTTCCCCTCATGCATTTCACGTCCTTGGAAATGAGAGTCAGCAATGACCTAATGGCAAGTTTTAGATGACACAAACAAGCTCTGATACCATTCTCTTCTATCCAACTCCCATAAAATCCTTCACTGTTCCTCCTAATGTGTTTCATGTATCTTCTTTCCCCCACCACCAACTCTAATTCAGGCCCTTGCCAGTGATTTATTATGCCTGCACCAAGACTCCCCAACTAAATGAAAAGAAAACCAAGGACACCCTCTTGCTTTCCGCACACACATACCCTTTAGATACTCTTCTTACTAGACACCTCGAACCTGTCACATTACAGCCTGACCTCACTGCTGATCTCAACCCCTAATCATTCTCTTCAGCACTAATTCTCACCAAACCCCGCTACTCTGTTACCTTCCTTTCTCCACGTGGTCCTAGCCTTCTCTCCTCATTGGTAAAGGATGACTTACGAGTCAGCTGGCCACAGATAAATTCTCTTCTTCCTTCACAGAACTTTTCACTTTGAAGCCCCTAATCAGGAATTAAAACACTTCCTTTATGCTTCTAATACACTGCCTTTACAGTAGGCTGTGACAAATGGAATCAAAATTATCTGGAATTGTACCTGTCTTCCGAATCAGCATTAAGGCTAAGAACAACTTTTAATCTCAACAGTCTCAATGGAAGTACCCAGAAACAAAACAAAACCTACTGCCGTGGAGTTGACTCCGACTTAGGGAAAGCCTTTATTGGGTTTCTGGGGCTTTAATTCTTAACAAGAGGCAACTAGCTCATCTTTCTCCCATCTTCCCAGGAAGCAGGGTTGGATTTGTTTCTGGGTACTCCCACTAAGCTTGCTACACAGAGATTACTCCGCAAACATGTGATGAAATATTAGTACTTTTAAGGTCTTTTAAAGTCTGGCACAAGCCTACATGTCTTCCTTATATTATTAATCTACCTGTTGTTGTTTGGTGCCATCAAGTCGGCTCTAAAACTCTGCCTGATTCTGTCAACTCTATTGCACAACTTGAAAACTATGATTCTTGTAGATCAAGATCTCAGAGCCACACAGTATGACATAAGCTCAAGAATGTTTTACAGAGAACCATGAAAACGGACTTCCACAATCTCAAGGTACCATCTGAACTCAACTTCTCTAATGATTGTTTAAAAGAAAGTCTCTACAAAAAGTCAACAGATCATTTAAAAGTTTAAACCCACTACCTGAATGATATGCTTCCATCACTATGTACCAAAATGATAAATGATCACATGAGAAAAAGTTTATCTTCTTAAAAAACCCTAAACCAATAGATTTTAATTTCCCAAACTCTCACTGGAAACGGAAAATAAGAACTTAAACTGATAACATGTGGAGATAATTACTGTTGGTTGGGATCTTAAGGCTTCCCGACCACAACCTTAAGCTGGAACTTCTGCCACACACTCAGGTGGCACGAGCATCGCTGGTGCCAAGGGACCAAGGGAGACACGAGGGGAGGAAGGACGGGGTTCACGTGCTAACCCGCTCCTCATTTTCCGTCCCCGGAAATCGTTTCAAAATCATGATGAAGTGAGCCACACCATTCCTCTGTTTACGCTCTTCTGATAGAAATCTGATAAATAATTGGAATAGAGTACAGAAGGATCAATAATGCACCTTCCAATACTATTTTCTGTACTCACGGTTTTAACAGATTCCTATACAATACCTGTCTGTACAATCTGTTTTAAAGACACATAAGACCTTATGATAACCACTTCCTACAACATTATCAAGGTATGGTGAACCTGATCAGGGACACTTTAAACAGCATTTGATGTTTTTCTTTCTACTTTTCCTCACACTTTCAAAGACTGGTCACCAAACGCACTCAGCGCGCACCTGTTTCCAGAAGTCTCCCTCCATAGGTGCTAGTAAACTATCGTTTCTCTCTCAATATTGAACCTGATGACTAGCATGGCAGCCCAGCCCTCCTCCATGGAGCTAGGACATTTCTCTAACAATTACAAGGAAGAACAATATAAAGGGCAAAGCAGATAATAGAAAAAGACTGTATTTGTTTTCAAAATAGAAACTGTTGATCATCAGAGGTGGCACCAGCAGGAATAAGGAGACCATGTGACACAACTATAAAAACAACCACAAACATTAAGTAAATATCTTTTCTTGGCAAATCGCAGTTGTATTATCTTTTAAAATAGGAATCTAGTCCAAGAGAAGATATTTCTAACAGGATTTATTCACTAGTCACCAGTTGCTTTCAACAAAACCTTAAAACAATACAAGAAAACACATCAAAGGAATCTCTACGTCTCCAACGGGAGAACTCCACTGCCGAGGGTCTGGGAGGAGTGAGCCATCATGGAAATAGTGAGAATATCTGACAGCTTCTACATTTCTCTCTCTCTCTCTCTCTCTTTTAGCTTTTACATTTCTAGACTTACGCTCCATCAAAAGCACGAGGGGCACTGTCCTTTACCAAGTTCTCACTCCATACACATAACCTGCACAACCCAGATCAACCGTGGACGAGCTGACTGACCCACAGGGTTCCCAAGGCTGAGACCTTCACCAGTACCTGACCAACCTTTCTCCCACAGAGCAGCAGGTGGACTCAAACCCCTAACCTTATCGTTAGTTAAGCAGCCCAACATATAACCCACTTACACCACCAGAACTGCTTCTATGCACACAGATGGGAGTTACAATGAAACGAACATAGAAAACATGGTTACTTACCAAAACAGAACTCTGCCTTTGGCCTTAGCTTAGTTGCATCGCTAACCTGACAGGAAAAAGGGAGATGAGTCATTTATTTCTTTGTATACAAACTTCTAAAAGATCAGGTGTTTTAAGAAAAGTTTACCTTTTTGACATGCATTACTTAATAGCAATCACTTCCTACTTTTAAAGAGATCTAAAGGTAAACTCTAAAGGCAAGTGGAAAAGAGTCATATATAAGTATAAGATCCAGGTGCCAGTGCTGGGTCAGCCAAGAAGTGGAGGACTCCCGACCTCTCCAAGCATGACGTCCCCTTCGTAGGACCTGCCACTCCGGATAGTCTGCCTACAGCACGTGCGGCACGTCTCACCATCCAGTCCTCTAAGGAGCACTGGAGGCGGCACCTCTTCTAAGACCAATCTGCATGTTCTGTTGGTAGGCAGCTGTGGTGGGAGCTCCATGGAACATATTACATCTTCAACACCACAGCTCAAAGGCGGTCTATCTGACCACACTGTGTTTCTGCCTTTCACAGCTCTCTCTCTCTCTGAGTCATCAATACAGCTTTTACTGCTTTTGTGTCAAACACCAAAAAACCCATATGGCGAGCCATGACCTCACTTTCCAATTCTCAGTTAAGATTTCAATTTCCAAAACACTAATAAAAAAGAAATGAGGACAAGAACTGCCTGATCAAGGTCAAATCTAATTTTTTTTAAAAAAAAAAACAGTATCACAAAAATTTTTGAAAAAACAAATCAACCAGAAAAGGAAAATTAGCAAAGACAAAATGAGAAGAAAAAAAAATCATCCTTTTCAAAATAAAAATGGTGCTCCTTTTCTTCAAAAAAGAATGAAAATGCCAAAGTTTATAGGATTTAAAAGTTAGAAACAGTTTAAACATCATACAAATCTAGGAGAATCTTCTCCATACTTTCACAAACAGAGCCTAATTGTTAAATGATTCCTTTCTGATGTTTGTGCACCTAATCACACACAAAAAATGAACACTGTCTTTCACAACCTGTCATCCTATAAGCAAATTTCAAGTTCTTTCTAATTTCATCAGTTTAAAGAACTTTCTAAACATAATAATTTCAACCTCCAGAGTACTGAAGAGCAATGATGTCAGTCTGGAGACTAAGGTGCACCTGATCCACGCTCCGGTCTTCACAATTACATGCTATGCATCAGAAAGCTGGACAATGACTAGGGATGATAGAAGGAGAATTGATGTCTTTGAGCTGTGGTCCTGGAGAAGAGTATTGAATATACCATGGACTGTTAGGAAAACAAACAGGTTTGCTCTGGAAAGGGTGAAACCAGGCTGCTCCCTGGAGGCAAGGATTCTGAAGCTCTGTCTGACACACTTTGGGCATGTTGCAAGGAGGGATCAGTCCTTCGAGAGGGACAGTATGCTTGGGAGGATAAAGGGACAGTGCAGAAGAGGAAGAATCTTGATGAGACGGATTTAATCAATGACTGGGGTAATGGGGGTAGGTGTGTCAGAGACAATAAGGTTGGCTCAGGATAGAGCAGGGTTTTGACTACATATAACTACAATAACAAACCTAATAAACAAGATACACTGTACCACTGTACAATATGGCAAAGAAAATGGCTGCTTTTATTCACATTCTTATTCCCGGAAATATTAACCTATGCATGATCACAAGACAACAAAGAAGATTACCTTTGAAATGTAGGTAAGCTTAATGGCTCCAACCCGGGATGATCCAGAAGGGAGGTTCTGGAAACAAATTATTAATATAGAGTTGGGATGCAACATTACAATTTTTTTACAATATTACACACACAATAAAAGTTAAGAAACTAGACTTTCTAATAAAAAATTTGGCAAACCAGTATTTTCAGTCTCAGTATTTACTCGGTCTGAAATCAGGATGACAACTGAGGTAACACAACTGAACACTACTGTTTCCTCACAGACAATTCTAGAGCTTTTTATTAAAAAAAAATAATAAAATCAATCATTGTGGCTAAAATAATTTTCTTCTTCATTGCTTTAAAAAGTCATAAATAATGCCAGAGTTTGTTCCTGAAAGCAACAGGGGAAATATCAGACATGAAACAAATACAATTATAAGAAATAAAATTATGTATGTAATTTTATTGTAAAAATAGTACTTCATCAAATATCTCTTAGAAAAAAGTATTTAATACCCTTATTTAATGATTCACTACCAACTATGTATTTAATCTATATTGATAATCTTTCCCTCACCCCCCCAAAAAATTCTATACTTTTCAGCAAGGCAATGTACACAACGACACTTTACACAAAGTGCGTTTACAGTCTTCTTCCCTTAGCAGGCTTGGAATGTGGTCTGTGTAACAAAAAAAAAGCCCTACTTAAGTTCCTTTCTAAATAAAAGATACTTAAAACGGAGTTTGAAGAATGAAAAAAATTTAGAACATGAAGACTGCTGGAGAAAATACTGCAGTCAGAGAAGCCAACTGGACAAAGGCAGAAGCGAAGGTCAGCTGGACGCTCTGGACCGAGGTGCCACAGCAGCCCTTCTGGGCTGTGAGACATTCCAGGGCACATGCAGGCTGTCTGGTCGGGGTCTGCACTACGGTGTCCTGGAGGGGACATTCACAGGATGTGACACTGCTAACCAAAAGACTCCAAGTTTCTGGCAGTTAGAACCCACCAACACTCCACAGGACAAAGATGGGCAGTCGCCGTTTAAAGGCTCAGAAGCCCGACAGAGGGCTGCCAGGAGTCAAACTGGCATAACAGCGGAGAGTTTGGAGCTTCATCTGAGAACCTAAACCTAAAAGTCTTACATAAAAAATAAAGTAGCAAGGAGTTTACACTGTTGAGAAATTGAAATAACTACAAGTGGATTCCAAATAGATCTATATAAAAATTTTCCATTAAATAATATTTCTAGTAATATAATAATTGTAGGAAAACCTGATAAAGGAATCCGGGAAAATGTAATAAAGAGTAGAAATAAAAAAACTGGTGGAAGGTTGTAAATGTAAAATGAAACAATCTTGATTTTCAAAATTATCTCAGTTCAAGATTAAACAAGATTAACTTTTAATTGTCTTCCTAATAACGTGCACTTAAAAAGTATTATATTTTAGGGCATTATTTTTATCGTAGGAGTATGCAATGAGGGTTGCAGAGTGGATCATATTTGGGGGTAGGGAGTGGGGTTTGGGGAGGTGCGGGGGGGA